CCTCTGCTCCTCTGCTCCTCTGCTCGCCCAAGGCTCTTCTAGGGAGCACCACGCCTGCTCGCTTCTCCCAAGGCCCCTCTGCCCCAGCTCTCAAGGTTGACCATGGATGCTTGACTGCTCCCACGCACTCACTAACCCTTCTCTCCTCGTGTGACTTGCAGGCTCTTGCCTCCCTCACCGGCTCGCCCGTCTGCAAGGCCCGTCTGCCCGCCCAAGGGAGCACCACGCCTGGTCTTCTCCATAGCTAATCAGGTGAAGGTTGGAGTATCGCCCCACACGCCACAGGAGCCTCCCCCTTCCCTTGGTTGAGGTTGAGGTTCGGTACAGGTATAGTCACGGTTCAGGTGTCCCGGTGAGGTATTCTTCTTTGGTACCTGGCTCCTGTGGCCTACACGCCTCCTCCCTTCACTCCCACGCCTCTCTTCTCCAGCTTTCTGCCTTTTTTCTTAGCCTTCCCGAGCTGCCACACACTCACTAACTTTTCTCCGCGTGTGACTTGCAGGTTCTCCCCTCCAAGACCAACTTGCCCGCCTCGCCCCTCTGCAACGCCCCTCTGCTCGCCCAAGGCTCTTCGAGGGAGCACACCGCCTAATTCACTTGCTCTAAATCCCTCTGCCCCAGCTTTCAAGGTAGCACCCGTTTCCTCTAGCATGGATGCTTTCCTGCTCCCACGCACTCACTAAATTCTCTATCCTCGTGTGACTTGCAGGTTCTTTTCTCCAACGCCAGCTCGCCTGCCTCACCCCTCTGCTCGGCCCCTCTGCTCACCCAAGGCCCCTCTGCCCCAGCTCTCAAGGTAGCGCCGTTTCCTTTCCTTTCCTTCTTTCTTGCACCTCCCACGCACTCACTCATTTCTCTCTACTTGCAGGTTCTCTCCTCCAACACCAACTCGCCTGCCTCGCCCCACTGCACGGCCCCTCTGCTCGGCCAAGGCTCTTCAAGGGAGTACCACGCGTCCTTGCCTCGGCTGAGGCTACTCTGTCCCAGCTCTCAAGGTAGTACCGTTTTCTTTAGCATAACTGCTTTCGTCCTCCCACGCACTCACTAACCCTTCTATCCTCGTGTGACTGGCAGGTTCTTTCCTCCAACACCAACTCGCCTGCCTCGCCCCACTGCACGGCCCCTCTGCTCGGCCAAGGCTCTTCAAGGGAGCACCACGCGTTCTCGCCTCGGCTGAGGCTACTCTGCCCCAGCTCTCAAGGTAGTACCGTTTTCTTTAGCATAACTACTTTCCTCCTCCCACGCACTCACTAACCCTTCTCTCCTCGTGTGACTGGCAGGATCTCTCCTCCAACACCAACTCGCCTGCCTCGCCCCACTGCACGGCCCCTCTGCTCGGCCAAGGCTCTTCAAGGGAGCACCACGCGTCCTCGCCTCGGCTGAGGCTACTCTGCCCCAGCTCTCAAGGTAGTACCGTTTTCTTTAGCATAACTGCTTTCCTCCTCCCACGCACTCACTAACCCTTCTCTCCTCGTGTGACTGGCGGGTTCTCTCCCCCAACACCAACTCGCCTGCCTTGCCCCTCTGCAAAGCCCTTCTGCCCGCCCAAGGCTCTTCAAGGGAGCACCACGCGTCCTCACCTCCCCCAAGGCTCCTCCGCTCCACCTCTCAAGGCAGGCCTTTTCCTTTTTCTCAAATTCTTTCCTGCTCCTCCCACGCATTCACTGACTTCTCTCCTCGTCTGACTGGCAGGTTCTCGCCTCCAACACTCTCTCGCCCCTCCGCAAGGCCCCTCTGCAGTTGCAACGCCCTCTGCAGTTGCAACGCCCTCTGCAAGGCCCCTCTGCACGGCCCCTCTGCACGTGCAACGCCCTCTGCTCCGACGCCAATGAGGTGAAGGTTGAAAGTATCGACCCCTTCCTCCACACGCCACAGGAGCCCCCCCCGTCCCCCCGTCCCCCTGGTTGAGGTTCGGTGCAGGTGTAGTCCCGGTTCAGGTGTCCCTTCAGGTCCCCCGTGAGGTATTTTTCGTTGGTACCTGGCTCCTGTGGCTCGCACGCCTCCTCCCTTCACTCCCACGCCGCACTTCTCCAGCCTTCTGCCGTTTTTTTTAGCCTTCCCCAGCTGCCACCCACTCACGAACTTTTCTCCGTGTGTGACTTGCAGGTTCTCTCCTGCCTCGCCCTTCTGCAAGGCCCCTCTGCTCGGCGAAGGCTCTTCAAGGGAGCACCACGCGTCCTCGCCCCCCCAACGCTCTTCTGCCCCAGCTGTCAAGGTATTACCACCTTCTTTTGCACGAATTCTTTTCTGCTCCTCCCACGCGTTTACTGACTCCTCTTCTCGTGTGACTAGCAGGTTCTCGCCTCTTGCCCCTCTGCACGTGCAACACCCTCTTCTTCGAAGCCAATCAGGTGAAGGTTGAAGTATCAACCCCTCTCCCTCCACACGCCACAGGAGCCCCCCCCCACCCCCCCCTCCCCTGGTTAAGGTTGAGGTTCGGTACAGGTATGATTCAGGTACCCCGTACGGTCCCCCCTTAGGTGCCCCTTCAGGTATTTTTCTTTGGTACTCGGCTCCTGTGGCTGCCACGCCTCCTCCCGTCACTACCCCACCGCACTTCTTCCTCTTTGTGCTGTATTCTTCAGCCGTCCCCACTGCCACACTCTCACTAACTCTCTCCGTGTGTTACTTGCAGGTTCTCTCCTCCAACACCAGCTCGCCTGCCTCGCCCCTCTGCATCGCCCCTCTGCTCGCCCAAGGCTCCTCAGGGGAGCACCACACCACACCTCCTCGCCTCGCTCTGGGCCCCTCAAAAGGTACCACATATTTTTCCAGCATGATTCTTTTCCTGCTCCCACGCACTCACTAACTTCTTCCTCGTGTGACTGGCAGGTTCCCTACTCCAAGACCAACTCGCCCCTCTGCGAGCCTCCCCTGCAAGGCTACTCTGCAAGGCTCCCCTACAAAACTCCTCTGCTCGTCCAAGGTTTTAAGGGAGCACCACGCCTCTTCCACTCGCTCGAGGGCGCTCTGCCCCAAGGTAACACCGTTGACTTTCGCATGGATGCCTTCCTCCTCCCACGCACTCACTAACTTCTCTCCCACGGCACTAACACCGTTTAACTGGCAGGCTTTTTCCGTTGGCACCAACTCGCCACTCTGCCTCAGCTCTCCAGCTCAGCAGCATGCGGACGGCTAGTTGGGGGGCAGAGGAGCGCAGGAGCAACGGTCCTCCGGCAGGCGGGCGGACAGCAAACGAGCAGCTCCAAAGCCAATGAGGTGAAGGTTGAAGTATCGCCCCCCCCTTCCCCCTCCACACGCCACAGGAGGCCCCCCCCCTTCCCCCCGGTTAAGGTTGAGGTATGGTACAGGTATGGTACAGGTATGGTACAGGTATGGTACAGGTATGGTACAGGTATGGTACAGGTATGGTACAGATATGGTACAGGTATGGTACAGATATGGTACAGGTATGGTACAGGTATGGTACAGGTGTCCCTTGAGGTATTTTTCTTTGTTACTTGGCTCCTGTGGTGCTCTGGTAGGCTCCTTCGATTCATTTTCGATTCCTGTTGAGCTGTCCAGCTCCAAAACACGCACTAACTCCCTCCTCGTTTGACTGGCAGGTTCTATTCTCCAAGTCCGCCTCACCCCTCTGCTCGGCCCCTCCACTCGCCCGAGGCCCCTCTGCCCGAGCTTTGAAGGTAGCATTGTTCTCTTTAGCAGCACTGCTTGCCTGCTCCCAAGCCCTCACTGACGAACTCCTTCCTCGTTTGACTGGCAGCCTTTTGCCCGAGGCTCTTCCAAGGGAGCACCAAGGCTCCTCTGCTCGCCCACAACTCGAGGCTCCAGGCAGCAGCCTTCCTCTGCTGCGCACCCAGATAAGTCTCCACCACTCCCTGCCCTCCGCTCCTTGCTCTCGTGCTTCCGGCCTTGGCAGGCCCCTGCCTTGGCTCCTCGCACTGCCATCGTCATCCACCCCACTCCCCCCCACCCCAAACACCCCTCCCCCCTTGGTGGCTTGCCACCCATCCACCTTCCACGGAGCCTTCCCCCCTTGGTTCAGGTACAGGTGCAGGTATGGTACTTGGCTCCTGTGGAGGTTGGAGAGGAAGGCACTGCACCATGTGCCATCCCTTGCCACCTCATCCCATCACCCCATGCGCACACCATCACCTTGCTCGTTCCGTTGCATGCACTCATTCCGCCCCTTGTGTCTTCACTCACTCTTCCCCCCCCCCCCCTTCCCCCCTACCCCCCACCCCCCCCCCTCTTCCCCCTTGTCTGCCAGAGGCTCTATTTCAACCAAGTCTTGAGGATGCTCCAACGCTCACAGCGCCAACACTGGAAGCAGTGCAACACTCCAGCCAGCGCCAAGTCGATGGCAGAGCCAAGTCTCAACAAGGGAGCGCCCAGGCTTGCAGCAGCAGGCGCCCTCGCTCCACTGCCAGATAAGTTGCGACCCTCTGGTACTCCCAACCCTTTCCTCTTCAGCATGCCGCAGCTGTCGTATCCAGTTCACTGCCATGCCATGCCATCCCCCCCGCCCTTGGTGGCGTGCCAACCACCCTTCTCGGAGCCTCTCCCCCCAGGTAACGGTTCAGGTCAGGTTCAGGTTGAGGTTGAGGTGCAGGTATGGTACTTGGCTCCTGTGGAGGTGTGGGAAGCACAGCACCATGCTCTGTCATGCACCATCCCATGCGCACACCATCACCTCTCTCGTTTCCTTGCATGCATGCATTTTGCCCCTTGTGCCTTCACTCACTCACTCACTCACTCACTCCCCCCCTCCCCTCCCCCGCCCCCCCCCCCCCCGTGGCTCTTCTTCAAGCCAAGGCTCGTCCCTGACACAACCAAGACTCGAGGAGGCTTCAACACTCAAGGCAGCGCCAACCGAGGGAGCATCAAGCGCTAGTTCTAAGGGGGCGCCAGGTCTAAGGGGGGCGCCATGTCGGAGGGAGCATCAAGGCTTGCAGCAGGCGTCCTTGTCCCTCTGCCAGATAAGTCGCCAGAAACGTACACCCAGCCCTTTCCCTTGCAGCTTTCTGCAGCTGTCGCCTCATCCCCCCCCCTCCCGTGCACTTGGTGGCGTGCCAACCACCCCTCCACGAAGCCTCTCCCCTTGGTAACGGTTCAGGTTGAGGTTGAGGTATCAGGTCTGGTACTTGGCTCCTGTGGAGGGAGTGGGAGGCGCTGCACCATGGCTCATCTCATGGCATCTCACCATCACCTCGCTCGTTCCCTTGCATGCACACTTTGATTCAATTGTCGCGTCGCACTCACTCTGCCCTTCCTGCCATCTCCCCTCCCCCCCCCTCCTCCTCTGACTGGCAGAGCTCGTTCCCAGTAATGGCGGCACTTGGTGGGCGGCGGGCGTGTCGTCCTGGATGCGACTCAAGTCCCAAGTCAACGAGCAAGGGCCCCCTCATTGAGGCGCGCTGGCGGGGTGAATGTGCCTGCCAACAGCACTGGCAGGCGCCTGCTATCCCCAAACCTCCAGTAAGTGCCACCTGGCTTCCTTCCTCTCGCCCGAGTGCCTCTCCTCGGACACCTTGGTGCCGCATTGGCACTTGTATTCACCTGAACACTCGCTGTTTGCTTTGAAAGGCTTCCTCCCATTGCCCTTGAATCGCTTCCCTCCAACCCCCTCTTCCCTTTAGGACTGCCTGCCCGGACAACGCCTGGACAACGCCTGGACAACACCTGGACAACACCTGGACAACACCTGGACAACACCTGGACAACACCTGGACAACACCTGGACAACACCTGGACAACGCCTGGACAACACCTGGACAACACCTGGACAACACCTGGACAACACCTGGACAACACCTGGACAACGCCTGGACAACGCCTGGACAACACCTGGACAACACCTGGACAACGCCTAGACAGCCTCTGGAGGCTTGGAGTGCTGCCGCCGTCAGCCCATTTTGCCCCATCTTTAAGACCAAGGTAACCCTCCTCACCCCTGCTCCCTCATTTCGCCCTTCACTTACCCACTGCTGCTTTCCCCGCATCTGTTTCAGCCCTCACTTGCTCATGCTTGCTGCCCTGCCTTGCTCTTGGACCATTCGTCACCTGTCACTTACTAACCTCTTTCTCTTTCTCTCCCCACCTCCCCCCAGCAGGTGGTTGGCACAGTGGTGGTTGGTAGTGGCAATGGTGGTGGGAGTGCCATGGGCGGTTGGCAGTGGCAGTGTCGTGTGGAGGGGCCATGCATGAGTTTGAGGGGGGACCCTTGAGGTTGTCTGAGAACTTGAACCCGGGCCGGACCGGGGCTGGTTGTGGCGGTGCACCACTGGCTGGCCAGCAGTGGTGTCACCAGGCGGGGGGAGAGGGCCCAACCAGCCCCTTAGAAGGGCACCCGGATGTCTTGGGACCAGCAACTCTGACGGTTCACCCTCGCTCTCTGCATGGGTGCATGCCAGTCCGTGCCGGGGTGGGCATGCATGGCAGCTGGGTGGTGTGTGTTGGAGTAAACCAAGTGTACTTCAACAGTGTGGTGGGGGATGAAGGCAAGTGGAGGAAGGTGGGGAGAGAGGGAGGGAGGGAGGGAGGGAGGGAGGTGGAGAGCCGGTGCTGGTAGGCCATGGTGCAGTGCAGGCGTAGCAACACAAGCTGCAGATGCGTGCCATGGCCGTACCAGCTCCATGCACATGGAACCATGCATGGCTGAATTTGCCAGCTGTCAGGTCAGCTTTGCTAAAGCAAACCAGTAGGTTGTGAATGTATGGTACAAGTTGCTCTATATGATCACATTGTGCCATGGTGCTCCCACAGCATGAGTTGCCACCTGGCTGTCTGCCATCATACATAGCTGTATCTGCCAGCTGTCAGACCAGCCTTGCAGCACGGTACAAAATGTAATTGGTTAAGACCATGTTGCGCCATGGCCTCAAGCACAAATGCATCGCAGAATATGGCAGCTGTCCTTTAAGCGGCACAATAATTATCGTATCTTGATCTCTATATTTGTAAACATGTATGCTGCAGAATGATTAGTCAGGTGCTGTGGTAGGTTCCCTGTTTTTGTGTGATAGAAAGCAGAGAGGAAATGTTTGTTTGTGTTGGAAATATCTCGAGGACTTAAGCGGCTCTGAAGTGTAACACCACACTTGAGGAAGATCGTAACGGGTACGCGAGTCAACGGAGGTTACACGAGGGGATGGATGTTATGAATAATAACTGAGAGTGCGCGGAATAATCATCACGAGTACAAGAATGGGAGCCTAGCATTATATAACGAGAGCTCTAGCTAGGCGACGAGCCCGGAAGGCTAGGTTGGGTACAGACGCGGTCGAAAGGTTCGGAGGCGGTGCGGGCGTGCCTCGGGGTCGCGTTGGAAACTGACCGAGCCTGGTGTTCCGAGAGTTCGGGTGTACGCGATTGCAGTACAACCCGGTAAGGAATAAAATTCCTTACACTACCCCCCCCCCCTAAGGAAGGTGATCAATATCGGGAACGCCTTTTCGGGTCAAATAAGATTTGAGCACCGAGTGTTCCTGAATCGAGTCGGAAGTGACCCAGGTGTCGTCTTCGCTTGTACGGTCGACCCAGCGAACAAGAAAATCCACGTGGCGTCCTGTCGAGTCGAGGCGAACGCGATGACTCAAAAGCCGAAAAGGCTCGAGCGTGGGTTCAGCCAAGGGACGAACACTTGGGGCGGCTGCAGGTCGTGCGACGGCAGACGTGCTGGCGACGTAGGGGCGAAGCAGGCTGACGTGGAATGCGTCGTGAATTCGCCACTCGTCCGGAAGTAATAACTTCGCTGTGACAGGTGTCACCATCTTGATGATACGAAACGGGCCACAGAATCGTGGGCGGAGTTTGGAAGGCAGGGGCAATCGCAGGTTCTTCGTGTCGAGAAGGACTAGTTGCCCAGCTGTCATCGTGATATCGCGGCGATGAAGATCCGTGTAGCGTCGAGCTGTGGAGTTGGACTTGCGAATGAATTCGATAGCGTTATCCCGGGCAGTTTGTAAAGTGGTCACGAACTGCTGGGATCGTGGCACGGGGTTGTTGATGTTGGTAGTCGTCGGGACTGTCGGGTCCATTCCGTAGTTTAGGAAAAACGGCGAGTGAGTAGTCGTCGCGGATGGGGCATTGTTGTAGGAAAACTCCAACATGGGCAGGAAATCTTCCCACCGAGCAGGATCGGGGCAGTTGGTCCGGATGAGTTGTTCCATGGTCTGATTGGTGCGTTCCGTTTGACCGTCGGTTTGAGGATGGTAGGCGGAGGAGAATTGGAGGCGTGTGCCGTACTGGGCCCATGTCTCCTGACAGAACTTCGACGTGAATTTCGGGTCGCGGTCGCTGATGATCGCTGAGGGTAGGCCGTGCAGGCGAACAACGGTGGAGATGAAAAGTTTCGCGGTGTCTTCGGCGGTGATTGTGGTACGGCAGGGTGCGAAATGCGCCATCTTCGTCAGTCGATCGACGACGACCAGCACGGCGTTGTTGCCCGTGGCTGCTGCAGGGAGCCCCGTGACGAAGTCCATCGTCACGTGTTGCCACGGTCGCTGGGGTGGCTCGAGCGGTTGCAGCAGTCCACCCGGCCGCTGGCGAGACGACTTCATGCGTTGGCAGATCGGGCACGCCGACACGTATCTCTGCACATCAGACGCTGAATCAGGCCAATAATAAAAACGGTGAAGTAGCTTTTGGGTTTTGTCAACCCCGAAATGACCGGAGAGATTAGAATCATGGACCTCTTGGATAAGTAATTCGCGGAGGAGTCTGTAGGCGGGAACCCAGATGCGGTCAGTACCGGCTTTTAGGAAGTAGGGTCCCTTTGCGGTGGTGGCCTGTTGGTGGAGGTTGCGGGTGAAAAAGGGGTCGGTGTGGTAGCCGTGGGTAAATAGTCCAGTGAGCAGTGGGTTGGATTTCGCAATTATGATGGAGGCGAGGTGGGCGGATGGTCGTGTCAGCGCGTCGGCGATGTTATTCGCCCCACGTTTGTACGTGATCGTGTAGTGGAAATTGCTCTCGAGGAAGTCCAGCCACCGAATTTGTCGTGGATTGAGATTCGGCTGCGCGCGGAGGTACTGTAGTGATTTATGGTCTGTCCGTACTGTCACGTCGGCCCCCGTCAGGTAACAGCGCCACACTTTGAATGCGTGCACGATGGCGAGCATTTCTTTGTCGTGAACGGGGTAGTTGCGTTCAGCTGCCTGCAACTTCCGGGACTCATACGCGATGGGTTGGAGTCCGTCGCCGAAATCTTGTAACAGTACCGCTCCAATGGCGAAATCGCTGGCGTCCGTCAAGACTTCGAACGGTCGAGATGGGTCGGCGATTCGGAGGACCGGGGGCGACATCAGAAAATTTCGCAGTTCGTCGAAAGCAATCTGCTGTCTCTCCCCCCACTCAAACAAAGTGCCCTTCCGCAGTAAGTCGGTTAATGGTCCGGTTATCCCTGCCATATTGGGGATAAACCGTCGGACGTAATTAACGAACCCGAGAAAACTCTGCAGCTCCTGTAAATTCGTTGGCGGCTTCCAGTCGCGAATCGTCGTAATTTTCTTCGGATCGATTTTGATGCCGTCCGCTCCCACCACGTGTCCCAAAAATTCCAGTTCGGATTTTAGGAACTCGCACTTAGAGCCTTTCGTGATGAGTCGGTTGTCGTGCAGTCGCTGGAAAACTTTCGCCAGGTCCTTGAGGTGCTGTTCCTGGGTCTTGCTGTAGATCAGGATGTCATCAAGGTAGACGATGACACACTTGTCTAGCAGGTCCCGGAATACGCCGTTCATGGTAAGTTGGAACGTGGAGGGCGCGTTCGTGAGGCCAAACGGCATCACCGTGTACTCGTAGCTGCCATAGCGGGTTCGAAATGCCGTCTTGTGGCAGTCGTCAGCGAAGACTCGGATTTGATGGTAACCGCCGCGTAAATCGATTTTCGAGAAGAAGCGAGCTCCGCGAAGTTGATCGAGGAGATCGTCCGCGTGGGGGATTGGGTAGCGGGACTTGATTGTTCGTCGGTTCAGCGCCCTGTAGTCGATGCACATTCGCAGACCGCCGTCTTTTTTGGGCGTGAACAGAATGGGTGCTGCGAACGGGGAGGTGCTGGGCCGAATGAACTTTTTCTCCAAGAGGTAGTCCAGTTGGCTTCGCAATTCCGCGAGTTCCGGCTGAGTCAGCCGCCACTGAGTCCTGACTGTAGGCTGCGCGCCGGGTTCCAGGTCAATTTTGTGGTCCTGGGGGCGCTCTGGTGGCAGTCCTGCTGGCAGATCGTCCGGGAAAATATCTGGGTATTGACGAATTAGCGCGGCGAGCTCGGCAGGGACACTGGCACAAAGTGTGTCAATGTCCTTTGACGTATCGTCGACCGTCGCTTCGGCCAGGTGGACGGCGTACATGTCAGCTCCTTTTTTAACCGCTCGCTGGAGAGTGATGGCGTTGACACGTGTCGACACCGGATCTCGCCCCCGCCAGCACGGAAGTACGCTCCACCCGTTCGCACAGTGGACGCTGCATTCGCCAGTTGTCCAGTCAATCCTCGGATTGTATTTTCGCAGCCAATCACGCCCGAGCAGAATGTCGCAACCGTCCAGCGTCGTGGCCAGCATCGGCATGCTGAATCCGAAATCGTCGCCGCACTTCATCCGCACCATGCGCGCTCGTTCCCGAATTGCAAGTGGAGTTCCGTCCACCAAGCGCGCGTCGATTTCGGGAAGGCATTTCTCCAACGTCAGCTTCAACTGCTTCGCTGTTGCGATGTGAATGAGACTATGGCTAGCTCCGCCATCCACAAATAATTTTATTTTTTTGCCGTTAACCTTGCCCTCAACCAGCACAGGGTGATCTTCAGGTTCGCTCCCGTTATTCGTCCGAGTGCGGTCGATAGCGTGTATCGGTACCACAACTTGGTGGGAACGTTGAATTTCGTGCGACAAAGCCTCGTCAGTAGGGGGCCCGTCTGCTACTGACTTTTCCCATTTCCCGGCTTCTCCTTGTCGTTCTTCGTCTTCTTGGGCGCCGTCGGGCAGTACTTAGCTCGGTGACCTGGCTTGTCACATCGAAAACATAGCCCGTGAAATACTTCATCGGGCGCTGACAAACCATTGATCGTGGGGCGGGGAGACTGTCCGCGAAAACGACCAACATCCCTGTTGTTCTTTCTCGCCCACTGCTGCAGTGCATCGGCTGCTGACGCCAGCTGGACAGCCTCGTCGAACGTCTTGGGACGGGACCGCTGCAACTCGTATTGAATATCGAAATGCAGCCCGCTCACGTATTTGTCCCGCCTTTCCGCTTCGCTGAGGTCGTCGACTTGGTCCGCAAGTGCCGAGAACGACGTAGTGTAATCTTGAACAGTAGTCACCTGCCGCCAGTTGCGCAGCTTCATGCGAGCGTCGTCTGAGGCGGATGAGTGCTCAAAACGAGCTCGCAGAGCTGTGCCCCACTGTTTCCACGTGCGAATTGTGGTCGTACTGAATAATGTTTCTGCCTGTTGGTTTGAAGAATCCGAAGTCCCGTCCTTCGCCTGCTTCACTCCTGCCGGAGTCCCAATCGCCAACTGTCGGCGCCACCAATCCAACGCTGGTCCTCGAAGCAGCGACACGGCATAATTAATGCGCGCATCATCCATGTGTACACTTGCTGCCGTGAAGAACAGCTCCATGCTGAACAGCCACCCTTGCACCGTCGTCGCCTTGTCCGAAGGGTTGAACGGGGGCGGTGTTGCTGGCTTGAGCTTTATCTTCGTTACGGTCACAGTGCGCACATCGTCCTGCTCCAACTCCCGTGCGAGCTCGTCAAGGACGGTTTCGCTCGCCGCGTCGTCGGCACCTTGCTTGACCTCGTTGTCGGCGACTCCAGGCGACTCCTGACGCGCTTCACCACGCGTCTGGCGAAGCTCGGTATTTTCCGTCCGAAGTCTCACGACTTCGCTGTTCAAACTCGCCATCTGGGCTTGCATTGCCTGCATCTGAGCCATGACCTCGTCTAGCTGGGCCTGGGACATGATGCGAATGCTACGCCTTTCGGGCAGGGGAAAGGCCGTGGTAAGAAACCGTAGGGGACGCAAACGCTATCGTAGTTGTGTGAGCTAATAACTCTAGCTCACGGACAACCGCTTTGCAGCCCCGCAGGGTTAACCACGCCTTGGAAATAAACTACCCTGAGAAAGCGGGGTGAACCAGGAAAGTAGCTCTGATACCAGATGTTATGAATAATAACTGAGAGTGCGCGGAATAATCATCACGAGTACAAGAATGGGAGCCTAGCATTATATAGCGAGAGCTCTAGCTAGGCGACGAGCCCGGAAGGCTAGGTTGGGTACAGACGCGGTCGAAAGGTTCGGAGGCGGTGCGGGCGTGCCTCGGGGTCGCGTTGGAAACTGACCGAGCCTGGTGTTCCGAGAGTTCGGGTGTACGCGATTGCAGTACAACCCGGTAAGGAATAAAATTCCTTACAATGGACAAAGAACACGAAAGGACTCGAAGGGTCGCAACCGGAGGTTGCGACTGACCGTTACAACTGCAAGGATGGTAACCGAAGCGACAATCGAGTCGCTGTGCGACTCGATAACCGCTCTTTCAACTGTATTCTACAACTGCTTTACTTTCCTACTTTCTATATATTGTTGTATGCTTGTTCTTTTAATCAATCACTTGTTCTCACATACTAGTACAAGGGTTCAACCACTCAACTTCCGCTGCACTACTCAAGTCCCCTTTTTCAACTGGGACTTAGTCTCTGAAAGATCCTAAGGCCTTTCTATCAGCCCAACATGGTATGAGAGCTGGTCAGAGACCAAACTCCCAGCAACTATGCTCTATCTACAGTTAGCACACCAACGACTTCATTGAATTACAAAGTCATGGACAACAAGGGCAAGAAGATTTCTACGGGCTCACCCAGTGGCCAAGACACTCAACCCGGCAACTCTGGAATGCACACTTCAGGACTGCAGACCGAGACCGGCGCTGCTCAAGAAACAACAGGAAGAACACCAGAAATGGTGACTCCATCACCTTCTTCAAGCATGGACCCCAACCTTATGGAAAGGTTCTTCAGCTTCATGTCGCACTTCGACCAGCAGCAGCAGACAAGGACACCTGCGCATTCAATACAGAGCAATGGAGGAAACATGGGATTAGCGCCAATGAGTCTCGACAACTCATCGTTCGGGCGAAACAATCAAGCGCCTACCTTTGCGCCTTATCACTCTTCACCGGGGACGTTCGAGTTCATGCCGCCCCGTGCCCAACCAACAGCAGCTGCATCACAACAGACACCAAACGAGATACTGAGTCTCCAGGCGCAGTTTTCACACGTGATCAAACTGCAGACATCCTCACCGTTCAACGGACACGACTTCTTTACCTGGAGCTTTGAGTTCGAGCTGCTGATGGAGGCTGCGCACCTCTTGGGATACTTCAACGGGTCCCTGCCATTTCCAAGCAATGGCACTGCAAAGGAGCAAGAAATATTTACTTATCAGTCGCTGCTGGCGTACACAGTTCTCCTGCGGAACCTGTCACCACAAGAGCAGCAAAGCATCAGAACATATCGTAGCTATGGAAAATTCGCGGAACTCGCATGGCATCATCTCAAGTGTCTCTATGAAGCAAACGACAGCGTGATACAAAGCAGACTCATGCAGCAGCTGACAACAATACAGATGAAGACCGGGGAAAAGGCGATGCAGTATATGAGTCGATGCCAGACACTCCGCGACCGCCTGCTTCGGTGCGGAGGTACAATCACTGAAGAAAGCTTCGTGACACTTGTCCTCGCTGGGCTCGGGCCAGAATGGAGAACCACCCGCTCGCTTCTTCGCGCCCACGGAAGAATTTCGGAGATGCACCTCTGTGCGAGCTTCATGCTGAACAACAAGAGATGGACCTGTTTAAAGAAAGGCAACCACGAAACAAGCAAGAACCGTTAGTCTTCTATACTCAACGAAGAAACGACAACAACTACAATCGACGCGGCAAGCAAGACCAACACGACACCAGAGGACTCACCATTGTGCCGCCGTTCTGCCACAACTGTCAAACATCTGGACACTCCAAAGTCAGCTGCACACGCCCCAGAGCATATCGTCCAGTAAACCCACAAGTTGCTTCCATTCAAGAAAGTCCACCGAGGCGTTCCTCCGTATCTGCACAAGGCACACCAAACATCATCAATTGCATGGTACGCATCGACAACTGCGCACGAGGATCACCACCCACTTACGCTCCAGACGAAGAAGAACTGCCGCCGCCGCGCTCACAAGGTCTTCAGGTCAACCAGACATACGCTGCAGTCGCCAACGCCGAACCCACCAGGCGAAACACCTGGTTCTTGGATAGCTGCTGCGGCCAACACATGTGTTCTTCCGGGCGCTTCGTGCAGCGAGAGCGACGCCTCAACCGCGATGTCATCATCACCGTCGCCAACAACGAGAACCTGAAAACAAACAAACAAGGCGTCGTTCAGCTTCAGTCAATGGAGACAAACGTCATACTGCAACTCAACAAAGTTCTAATCATCGACAACTTGGGATACAACTTACTCAGCGTCAGCCAGTTAATGAAAAAAAGGATTCACCTGGAATGCGACTCCGATTCCAACGAATTTCGCCTTTACCACGGGAAAGGCGGCCTTTTCATCGGTCGCGCTCTCCTGAAGTCGGGCGTCTTCGTGTTGGATTTCGTCCCCGACCGCGGTACTGCCGACAGCGATGGCATCGTGTCGTTCGCCGCATGGACGCACCCGCCGGACCTTGACCCTGACTTTACCCCAGATGGTTTCTGGTACTCCAACACAATACCTGCAGCAGAAAGGACCCGAGCGTTAGCAGTCATACGACAAGAAAGACACGTACCAGCAAGTGTCCCACCCGCAACATCACCTGCAGTAGCAGCAGCAGGACCTAGTCGTGTGCCATCACTAGCAGTCCGAGGACCACCAACCGAAGCAGACCAACTCATGTCAAACGCTCAAGGAGCTTGCCGCAGTCCCGCAACAGGCGTCGCGTTCTTCTCTAATACCAGCTTGTATCAGCGCTCCCCCGGCCATCGCGCTCCCGACGACATCTGGCACCAACGCCTCGGTCACCCTGCAAACAGTACAGTTCTACAATCAATCCAAGCTGGAGTATTAGAAAAGGACGCTCTCCTCACAACAAGCGGACAAGAGCTTCGACGACCTCGCGCCAGATGCTTCACGTGTCCTGAAGCCGATCTTCCATACCAACCCTTTCCGTCGCATCACAATCCAAGTGCACCTGCATACGCACCAATGGAAAAGGTTTACAGCGATATCTTAAATATGCCACGCGTTGACAGAGAAGCAGACTTCAACTATGTCATCACGTTCATCGACGCGGGAACAAGATACGTTTGGCACTACAACCTCAAGACACGCGATCAGGCATTTGA